CTAAAAGGTATGTTTCATCTCTCAATAGTGAGTGTGGTGAAAGAGATGTACTTTTGGTTGGCTATGGTTTGGTTTGATAAAGGGAATGAGGTTGATTGTCTCATAAATAGAGGTACAATTTAGGCTCCTGCAGTGGTGGAAATAATGGAAGCAAACGAGTGATTGGCAAACCTCAATGCTTGTTCATAACTTTGACCGAATTGAACATACTTTTGTTGTGACATGTATACGCCGAAGAGGAGAGATTTAAACATTTAGAGTTGATTTAGGTGTGATTATGGTCATTTTCAAGCATGGAGATATATGTGTGCTCATGCAGTCGCTGCATGTAAGCATATTGGTACAAGAGCGTACCCAAATAAATCATATCGACTGAAAAATGATTAAGATGAATGAATGTCAATTCCAATGCTTCATAGAACTCCAAAGAGTTGACCTGAGTCTACCCGTATACATAATCGTATGGATTTTCATATTAGAGAGAAATGTCAACCGAAGAGATGTACATTATGTAAGGGAAAAGGTCATTTAAAAAATGTACAAATCTACTAAGATATAGGCCTCATTAATCGTATTTGTATTTTAATGAATATTTGAATTTATTTTTTATTTCTATTTAAATGAATGTTTTTTTTTCTTATTTGTTTTTTGAATGGTGTGATGGATTTTCACATATGATTTGGAATGAATTAAACATAATTTGTATACATGAATTAAATGAAATTAAACCATCATTTGAATAAATAACATTTTATTTTCATACCAAAAACAATGGATCTTTTACAATTCTTGTAGGTACTAGGGTGTTATGGAATAATAATGTTGAGGCACACATCGATTGTGTTGTGGTTGTTATCTTTGCTTAGGAGTCTGGTAGGCAACCTCCTCATTCATTGAGGTCATATGATTCGGTGTTGTAACTACATGTCCACCACTAAACTCTCCCATCTCTGATGAAAATATAGAATGGCAAATAGTCGTGTTTGACAACATAAATTTCATGTTATCAAACTTATATGTTGATCCAAGAATGAGGGATTAGATGAGTAACTGAGGATGAATAAACTCGGGTATGTAAGGTATAATAGCAAAATCATCAAACGATGGATGAAATAATCTTGCATTGCCTAAAGGTTGTGATAAACTATTATCCACAAGTTCTATTTCCACTTCATGGTGAGATGAACTCCCACTTGGTATAGATTTTTTGCTTTACTAATTGTTTCTTATATTTTATAAATTATCGTCATTCTCTCATCGTTGTCAAATACAACTTTTCATTAAATCAATAATAATTAAGGTAAGTCGAAGTATGAAAATCAAAGTTATCAGCTTGAATGAGAGCAAGTGTTGGCAAGTATAAATCCCTTTTGTTCTACATATTAATGTAGTTCATATGCTTTTCAATCCAATTTTCATTGTGCTCACTTTATCCATTAAATTTGTGGATGTCATCATGATTGTATGGAATATACGAAATAGGCTGGTGGAATCCTAACTACCTCAACACTCTATCCAAAAACTGAAACTCAATAAAAACAAAACGGATCAATGGTGTAACATTACACCAATATTGAAAACCATCCCAAACATATTGTGACACACATGCAATAATTTCTTTATCTATTTACTATCTTCAAATAAACTGTTAAATTAAAATTTATATAAATTAATTATAAATAATAAATAAATATAAAATTTGATTTAATTTAATTTAACTGAACTAAAAAATAAAAAGAAGTTACTTTAAAATTAAAATTATATATACCTAATTTTTTCTTTTAATGTCAATCTTCAACCTAAATTATTTAATACTATTATACACCAACCATGTTCTTTCTATTTTATGCCTCCTTATGTATATCAATCAAAAAAATATTCTTTAATTATTTTTAATCAAAATAAATAAATTATAATTAATATTTTAAATAAAAATAGAAATATTACCTTCCAACAAGAGAAAAGTCAACCGTAGTTTACTAATCAGTGTTAAATGGAAGTTTGTGTCAAGCCAATGATTGTAGTAACATCATATATACATTGAGTTCCATTGTATTAATATTATTTATAATTAATGACGTCTTGTACATCTTACGGTACAAAAAGCTAATATCATTGATCCTCAACTATATTGATGAGTATCCTTAAAATTTTCCAAAAAAGGGAGATATTGTGTGTTCCCAAGAAATTTTGTTTTACTGACGTCTTCCCAATAAATCCATTACAAAGTGGATACACCTTGTAATCATTTTTCCACACCACTGACATCCAATTTGTTGGGACGTCGAGTTGCAGGGTCATACTTCAGAGTTATCGTGTATTCTCCACACGAAAAATAAAATGTATGTATTTTTTGTCTCCATCGTTCATCAATTCACTGATCAAACAAGAGATTAACTTATACTCTCGATCAAATATTACATTATAAAATCTAACCTCTTGCAAGTTATCAACAATAAAAGGGAGTGGCTTATCACAAATATTGAATCGATGACGGATGACTCGCTACTCATCTTCTTACAATTAATTATTTCATGAAATTAATTAATTAATCATAAAATAAACTTCTAGTATTTAATGATAATAATAATTCTTTCTTAAATAAAATATATTATTCTATTAAATAATAACATCATTGTTCTCAAATAAGTAAAAATATGTTGATCGTCTAATCTCAGTACTTGATTTTATTCTACCATTTGAACGAATTTGTAGAAAAAATAATTTTTCAAACAACAATAATTTAATCTAAACATTAATTTAAACAAAATTAATTTAATCTAAATTAATTTAAACAAAATTAATTTAATCTAAATTAATTTAAACAAGAAAATAATTTAAACTGTAACAAAAAAATTACCTTTTTCGAATCTTCCCTTCCTTAAACTGACTTCGATATCTCCCAATTAAACTTATCTTCTTTTCTTCTTTTCCCGTGCAAAACAACTCACTTCCATAACATCCATATAAAACTCTCTTAAGTCATTCATTCACATCATTTATTGCTACTAGGGGTGTAAAAAGCTAACCCGACATGTAAAACTGACTGAAATCGACTTAAGTCAAAATTATTTTTGACCTGCGCTCTGGTGATCTGAAACCGATTTGAGTCGGAACTGGTGTTGACCTAAACCCGAATTGGACCTGGAAATTATGGATCTGAACCCGACTTGAGAATGACATGAACACGAATTGAACCGAAAATATGATACCCGAACCTGAATTGCATCCGACTGATATGAACCCGAACCCGAGATTGACCTAGTAAATAACTGGTATTATCCGACCTGTTTTCAACCTGACATGTAATTAACTTAACCTGTAAATGATCCGACATGTTATTAAAATGATCTGATATTATCCTGACTTATAATTAAAGTTACAATTAATATAATTATGTTTTTTAAATTTATAATAAACTTATGATAATTAAATTAATATGATTACTTTTTGAAAATTAGTTTTTATATTAATTATAATTTATATATTATAAATTTGGTTTTAAAATTAATTCCAATTCTTTATATTATTTATATTTCTTATATTATAAATTTTATTTACAATCACTAAATTAAATTTAAATATTGTATTATTGAACTTGATTTTATTAAATTATATTAATTAAGTTAAAATATTCATAAATCTAATTTACTTTTAATGTGAAAATTGATTAATAATTTAAGTATAACTTAACTTGAAATTTTAAAACAAAAATATATTAGTTGAAATGATAAAATTATTAAATATTTGAAACTTGAATAACGTTACAAATACTAAAACAAAAAAATTATAAATGAAATTAATTTTATTATACTTGAAAACACTAAAATTACAATAAAATCAACTAAACAAAATAAATTTATGTTGAAATAAATGCTCTCAAATCTTATAGCTAAAGTTTTACAAGGCTAAAAGCCTAACTATACTATCAGAAATATCATCATCGAGCCTTTATACCAAAATGTTGCCAACATGTTTAATTATGGGCAACTTTTTAGCTTTAAATGTCAAAATGCCACCAACATAATTCCACATGAGTAACTATTTAGATAAGAATTTATAAGGTTCAAAAATTGATTTAAATCACACCAACAATAATAATTTACAAGGCATCAATGAGTAATAGACAACAGCAACCGACAAGCATCAATATACCAATTCATCAAGCATTATTGCATCAATTCAGCAAGCATCATGCATTAAGAAAACATACAATCAATGGTAAAGCCAAAGGAAATTCGATGGCCAACAGTGCCAAACATTTCCGACTTTACCAAACCCTTACAAATATCAAGTAGAAGCAAACAATATAAAATAGAATAATGCAAAATCAAGCACCAAATATTGCTTCTTGTAAGGCACCCTACAAAAAAAATTATTAATGAACTATTTGAAACTTTTATTAAATAAACATAATAAATATAAAATATTAAGTTACCTTTGAAGGGAATAAATAAGACATAATCTCCAATTCCAATAGTTTCAAGGACCATTAAACACCCTAAAAATTTAAAAGAAAAATTAAATATTCTCTTTTCAAATAATAATGAAAAAATGATGGAAAAGGTGAGTTATCATTAAATAGTTATATGTAGGCAATAGCACATTTTGTTTTCTTCTATTGCTTTATGCTATGAACAATTAAAATGTTACTTCTGTGCAATTGAGTTGAAGAATATGAAATGATTTTAACTTACACTACCCCACGATGCACATCACCATGGTTGCAATGACCCGAAACACCATAGCAATCAAATGTAATAATCTGAAAAATAATAGAAGCACAGATAAGAGAAATAAGAAATGAAAGATATTAACAAACAAGCAGTAACAGAAAACTTTCAAATGATGTATATCGCTTCCACTCCCATATGCATCCATCACTCAGCATAACTTGGACAGTTGGACAATTTATACAGTAACATTGAAAAAAAAAATCAACTTAGAACGAATTAAAGGAACCAAGCATGAAGGTGAAAAACCAACAGAGCCAAGAGTGTACCTCATCAATGACTAGAACATAAACCTCCTCTTCAATGATATTTGCCAATAAACCATGGTTCCAGACTCGGCCAAAACCACCCTGACATGAAAAATAAGATTATAAACTCCTAAATCTTTTTATCAATTAACAATAGACTCTAGATTAGATAGGCCTGGCGCTATATCAAGCCAAACAAATTTTTGTATTTTTCACCGCATTTGAAAAAACATCAATTTCCAAAAGCAAACATACCAAATTATGAATAGACCGGTTCAAAATTCATAAACTAAAAAGAGACTTAATAGTATAACCTGCAAATCTGGTACAACTCACATGGTAAAATAAATTTGATGCTTCGAAATCCAAAATCCCGATGTTCTTGTGCACACTGATAGAACCAATAAGCTTATCCCCGTCGAAGACCGTCGATAACACTATTTCAGTTCAAACGACTCACATGGCGCTCACCACTGTAGTGAAAGAGGAACAACATTTTCGTCATCAGAATATGAAGCTAAACTTCATTGCAAAATTCCATTAACCATCATGCATGGATATAGAGGCACATAATGATATAATACAAACAAAATATACTAAGACAAACATAAATTGCATTGTTCGCTAATAAAAGCTCAACCAGGAAACTTCTTGGAAAGAACAAACAGATTTAACTATCTGTTTGCTTAACCTAATTAAAACAATCTAGCATCCATAACCAAATTAAACAAAGGGCATTTACATGAACCAGTCCAAGTTAGCATGGAAAACTAAGGTCACCTTCAATAAATACTATCATATGAAAGTGAGATGAAGAAAATTTCAGAAAATTAACGATCCCATGGCTTAAAAGCTTTGCAACTATGCCAAATGCATTAAAAGAAACAAGAACAAATAATCAAGGTCTCCTTCAATAAATACTATCATATGCAAAGTGAGAGTGTGAGAATAGGGCGAGAGGGGGTTAAAATAACCAGGCGGACTCAGCGAGTGGCAAGCGAACAGAGAAGGGTAATCATTGTCTTCAAATCCTCCAGAACCGAGTTCAACTGAGCCTGCAACTCATATCCCTTATTGACCCGTGTTCGGCAACTTTTGGATGCTGAGCGGGGAAGAAGAGGGAAAACGAGGGAAACATAATTTTGGATGCTGAGCGGGAGAGATTTTGGATGCTGAGCGGGGAAGAATAGAGACCGAAAATAAAGGAGGGAGGGTTTGGCGGGAAGAGGCGGGAGAAAATGTTATTTATAATTAATATTAAAATAATTATTTATTATAATTAATATTAATATTAACATTAACTTATATTAACATAATATAGTTTATAATTTGTAATTAATATTAATATAAAATATAGTCTATAAAATTAATATTAATATAAACTATATGTTATAAATTATATTGTATAGTTTATAAACTATATACTATATTAATATAAATTATAGTTAAGATAATTAACATTAATATAAACTATATAATACATTAATATAAACTATAGTTTATAAATTATATAAAATAGATTATATGTAACCCCCCAGACCGATGCAGGTAGCCCGATCCGATCCAGGAAGTCACATTAGGGCCACCGGAGCGACCCACTGTAAAAATAGCGGAAAATTTAAATCTTTTTATCCGAACATGTAAACTTATAAAATAATTTGTCACTATTTAAAAATAAAACATATTTCCAGACTCATATATAAATCAAAATACAATTACATGCCCCCTATTCACATGTACCATACTCTGCTACAACGCCGGAAAAACTCCCTTACTGAAGTCGATAGATGCACTGGTACAATTCTTTTAACCTGAAAAGGTGAGTAATAGAGTGAGCTTCAAAAAGCTCAGTAATACAGAACTACCAGATGATGCTGAAAAACGTGCAGATACAGATAAACATATTTTCCTTATTGGTTCAGATATTTACAGATCTTTATGTTGAGCTGAGGTTCATTGATATCGCATGTAGTAACAAATAGTATTCATTTCAGATGGAAATATTTCGGATGTCTAGGTTCAGGAGATCAAAACAGGTTTTCTAGTGTGTTCCCAAAAATCATGTAACTTTTCAGATCTTTTTTAAAAACATATATATATATACCCCCATCCAACAAGTCCAAGTTGTGTAGGTTCCCCAGAACCATACACCCACCATCAAGTCCAGTTGGCCCTGAGCACACAGCCGAGGAACCGGTAAATAAGGCCCTGAGCACACAGCCGAGGAGCCTCCAGGTATACTTCCTCCAACATTACCCCCCAAGTAAGATATGTCTGTCCGTAAACAGATATATCAAAAATCAAAACATAAATCAGGTCAAGTATCATATCAGAAATCAGGTCAAGTAACAGATCAGAATCCAAGTCAGATATCAGATCAGAATCCATGTCAAGTATCAAATCAGAAATCAAATCGAAAATCAGGTAAAATATTCATGTGAGTAGGGAACACACCAGAATTTACAGATAGTATTCAAAGATATTGGATAATCTTAACAAGTAGGGGAACACGGATCTTTAGTATACCGATAGAATATCGGAATTATGAATCACTATTGAAAGAGTTCAATAACTGACAGAATCATCAGTTATTCAGAAAGTGACTTGAGCTGATAAGGAAGAAATGAAGGTTCAGGACATTTATATTATCTATCGATTGATCGAATTATCGGACAACTCTTAGATGAATAGTTTCCAGAACTAATGCCTGTCGATTGGTCAATTCATTGTTCTTCCAGGGTATTTACTCTTTAATACCACAATTCTTGTCCATAGACCATTTTCGGAATCATTGTTGAATAGATCTTCCAATGTCTTTATTTCATTTCCACACTTCTACAATATCATGAAATGCTGACGTACTTGATTAATTTGTTCAAACTCATTGTAATTGTACACTACGTAAACTCATCAGAGTTTCCAGACTTATCCAAGTCACTTACTAAATCCTCAGTCATTGAAGTTACCTATTTCATTTAGCAGTCATCTCTATTCCAGTTACTTCAGGATTTTCCAGAGTAATTCAAACATTCCTGAATTTCAGATACATGTTGTACTTCCATTCCATTCAATTTGGTCTTCATGGTTGATTGTCGAACAAACGTCCAATTCTTAGTACTGAATACAATCTAAAGCCGAGTTGAATACTTCCAAAATTTATCATCGAGCCAAACTTGAGAAGATGAACACATGTTCCAGTAATATCTGTGTCATTCAGGTATTGACATAGCTTTAGGGTTGATCTATTCACTTGAATTGTTTTCCATTACCTTTAAAGGTAGTCCAATACTTATCTTACTTGGATTCCTTAATTAATCCAAGACATTTACTTAATTTAGGCCATAAGGGTATTTTGGTAATTTTGATGTTCAGTTTTATTCCATTCATTTAAGAGCTCGAGGATATTCAATCATTCCTGAGCTTGGTGATATTCTTGGGTCATTTCTATTACAGGGGTATTTTGGTCATTTTATAGATTCACGGTATTTCAATCTTTTCCTTCCATCCGATCTTATTATTTAATTCAATCTTATCATTTACTTCAGTCCTTTCGAACAATTCTGACAGCAGAATACCCCCGATAAATTACTCTTCCAGTATTTACTCATTATTCGAATATTTTCAGGTCAAGTGTCTTCTCAGACTTTACAAACGGAATATCATAAATTTTCCTGCACTAAGTCGGGATCTTAACAATTAAATCCGTACTTAATCGAGTTAAGTACGAATCCTCTAAGTATTTTCTCATTCAGAGTCATCTCAGACTATTCTACCTCTTAAGGGCATTTCCGTAATTTCTTAACCAGATAAGTTCGATATTAGCTCTTAACGAAAATAATATAATTTAGAGATCCTATGATTAATTGCTTTCTTGAACAATCTCTGATCTTGAAATAATTCCCTTAACACACTTCTAGTATCTTGCATAAACCTTCTTGGGGTTAAAAACCGGTTCTCCATAATTTCCAAGTAAAACTAACATTTCTTATGCACATCAATAGTTTTAGCAGATCAATAATTCTTTTCAGATTTATTAATCCACTTCCAGAGACAATTCTTATCATTTTCCAACATAAGGGTAATTTCGTAATTTTCCCTAATCGAAATATTCTCTTAATTTATCATCTAAGTACCTTTAATGAGATAAATTATAATCTACAATCCATGGTTAATTCTTTTATTACTTAATTCCAGAACTTGTAATTTAATTCAAACCGTCCTCCAATTTCTTATAATAGTCATCTGAGCCATATTCAGTTATCTACTTTCTACCGTATTCGTACCTAGTGTAGATCTTCATTAATTACACATATGAGACCAAACATTTCCATTCATGCATTTATCAATACCAACATGTTCCATAAAGCATAAAGAGGTAGTAAAGTATTACCTCGATTTCCGTGCAATACTGATCGACCATAAAAATTCCATTCGAACGCCTTTGATCTTCAATTCAACTTCCAATAATTCCTCAGATACATATCAACATAAATTATATCAGAAACGGAGCTTAATTACGATAAACGGATCGAATCGGGTGATAAATCAGTGAAAGACGGCTTACCGAGTTCGAATTTGGCGAAACGGACTTCGGATTTGGATTCAGGACGTTGAAAGCATAAAATATGACTTTTCAGAAATTTGGAATTTTCGGTCAAAATCAAAGTCAACGGGTTTGACTGTCAATTTCAAGGCCTTCGGGTTCGAATTTCGAAAAACGGACAGCGGAATCGGATTTGGAACGTCGAAAAATGTTAGGATAGGTATACTCGGTCGAAGTCAAAGGTCGTTTAATGCCCGATCAAAGCCAGTCAAAGTTTTGGTCAACAGTGGTCAACTCCGGTCAACGGTCAATGGGTCAACGGTCAACGGGTCGGGTCAACGGGTCGGGTCGGGTCAACGGGTCGGGTAAACAGGTCGGGTCGGGTCAACGGGTCGGGTCGGGTTGTGACCGGTCAAACCGGTCAAAACAGTTCCAAAACCGGTCAAACCGGTCACTTTTCCCTTCCCCACGCGCAGTGGCGGCGCGTGGGGGCGCGTGAACAGTGATAAAATCCCGGAAAAATTTCTAAACATTATTTTGAGCGATTTCGAGATACTTACAAAGCTCGGTTCACAATTTTGAACGGCGGAGAGCTCGATTTCAACAAATCGAGAAGTTTGACCGGTTCACCTCCCAACGCGCCGCCGCCGCCGGAGAAAAAGGAGAACACCGGTGGACTCGGAACGGCACAAGGAACACGATGGTGCGGGAGGTGTCGTAAACAGATGACCCGATCGTTGTGAATCGATGAAAAACCAACTAAAACCGAGTTATTACCGACGATACTTCCGACTGAAATTCACGACGAACGGCGATGATTCACGACGAAAGGTTTGAGGGGTTTTGTTCCTCGTTTGACAACGAACACGATGGTTGTTTCGGCTCGTCGTTTGGAGGTCGGACGGCGAGTAGATCGGAGTTGG